AAAAAGTCTTCAGTTTGAACTTGGGGGGTTATCCTTCATATAAATGAGAAATCAGGTTGGCTGATGAATGTGGCCGTTTGAGCCCAGCTGTGCCTAAAAGCACACAGGAGAGGCTCTGGCACATCTAGGACTTTTCAGAGCTCCACAAAAGTTGTCAAAAACCTTAAAAGAGAAAATGTTAGGAAGGTAGAAAAAAAAAGAGAATACAAAAGAGGAAATAATACACGTTGGGGGAAAACAAAATGAAGCTTTCCCAAAATTCTTCTAATTCCTAACTCTTTTTCATTTTCATCAAAAATTTGAGATACTCCATGGTTAAAAGAGGGATCCTCTGTGATTAAAAACCAGACTTTACTTATAAAGGAATTAATTTTTGATGGCCAAGAGGATTACTACATGCCCACTTTAATATTGGAACCATGAAGGCCTTTCCTCGGAAGGCTGCATGACGAAGTGGTTAAAAGCCCAATCCCCAAGCCATTTGCCTTACTCAGAACTTTGATTCTACTATATACAGGCAATTGCATTTGATCAAGGTGTATAACCTCTCCATGTGTCAGTTTCCTTATCTGTAAATGGGGGTAGAGAATAATAGCAAATACCTCACTGGTTGGGTATGAAGATAGAATAAAATGATACCTGCAGAGCACTTAGACCAATGCCTGGCACTCAGTGCATATTACAGAATATTGTCATCAATATCATCATCATTATTATTATGTCCTACTCTTCTATGAAGTTCTGTATATCTGATAACTGTAATATTAGAACTGAAACTATATACACTTAGCCCTCCATATTTATGGATTCTATATCTAGGGATTCAGCCAACTGCCAACCAAAAATGTTTTTTAAAAATCATATCTATACTGAATATGTACAGACTTTTTGTTTTTGTCTTTATTCCCTAACCAATCTAGTGTGACAACTATTTATATAGCACTCACCTTGTATTTGGTATTATAAGATCAGAGACATGTCAAAGTATATAGGAGGACGTGCACAGGTTATATGCAAATACTCCACTACTTTATATATTCAGAACCTGGAGTATTTGTGGATTTTAGTATCTGTAGGATTCTGGAATCAGTACCCCACAGACATCAAGGGATGATTGCATTTCCTTTGCTTTCACTCCTCATTGCAAGACATGCTGACAGTACTTCCATAACAACATTAATTTTATAATTTTTTTAAAAAATATTTTATTTTTTAGTTGTAGTTGGACACAATACCTTTATTTCACTTATTTATTTTTGTATGTGGTGCTGAGGATTGAACCCAGGGTCTTGCACGTACAAGGCGAGCGCTCCACGGCTGAGCCACAACCCCAGCCCTATTATTTTGCTTCTCTCTGGGACTCGTGAGTGCTCCTTAAAGTTAAATTATTTAAATATTTTATTTTATTAAGCATACTTACATATGACAAAGAAAATATACATAGATACATACATAGATATAACCAAAATATATACTGCTTATTATTTTAAAATAATTAGGTAATCCTTATATTTGCCATCAACAATGGCTCTGGGTTTACAAGATGTCAGTCATGTACTCCTTTGGCCAAAAATGGAACATTATACCAGGCTCTGAAAAAAAGAAGTAAGGAGTAATAATATCCACTCAGAACACTGGAAGACAAACGGAGGACAGAGTAACCTATCAATGTATAAAAATGCCATCAACTACTCACCATTATTCCTAGTTCATCACAGAGTTCATAGAACTTATCCTGCTCATAAACGCCTCCTCCCCACACCCGAAGAACATTCATGTTAGCATCCACAACAGACTGCAAAAGGAGCCGTAACCTTGAGGAGAAATGGTAGAAAGTAATTTAATTTAGATACCTTGGAACATTAAGAAAAAAAATCAAAAAATATTTTTAAATCTCTGTCAGAAAAACACACCTTAAAATTGCAATAAATTGGATATAAATCTAAATAAAGAAAGTGAAGTCAATATTTACTTCTAGATAATATATAATTTACATGTAACCACATAAAACAAACTAACTTTGAAAAATATGAACATCTTTCCTTTCTAAATATTCAGTAATGTTACACTATTTTTTAAAGCTAATTTTTGTTTTGTATTTATTCCTCCAGAAAAAAATTACAATGTAAAACTTAGAAAGTTCACTTATTTTTATATTGCACACAATATATTATATTGCAATTGCCATTGCAAACGACAAAACAAAAATCAAAGCTTGAATATTATTGCCTCACTCACCCCGATCTTTTTTAAAATTCTTTCAGCCTCATACTCCTTTGTACAGTAAATATCCTTTCTACTTTATCCAAATTCTTTTTCACTCTACCCTCTGGAAAATCTAGAAATTTACAGCCAGTTGGAGAGCATGGCCCTTCCCTCCAGCCCCAGAACACTGCTCTGGAATGAATTGGAAAGCCAAAGAACAGGCTGGTCCCTTTAAACTCTGCTCTCAACATCCCCTGCAGGCTGACAAAAATTGGCCCAGTTGTGCTAAACAGAAAGGGCAAATCAGTAGGAGGAGAAAGGAAAATATACAGCAAATTATCCCATGCTGCATCTGAAGGAGCATTTCATTGTCTTATAAAATGTAAAATAAAACACACATTTTAAAGTAAAAGAAAATCACAATAAGTATTATAAAACTGAGGATTTAGCTACTAGTGATATTTACACTCTAAACATCAAATAACATACTACAAGGCAGACTGATACATTTGTAAATATGCTGAGCTATTATTTAACTTAAGGTAAAAAAAAAAAAAAGTGTTTATTTTCCCTTCACAAAGTTTATTTTCACTATTGCAAAGATAGTTTATACAACCAATTAGGAAATATTGTTGTCTTCTAAAGTTCTATTCTCAAACCCTTCAGAAAAACACTCCAGGTTTTTTCCTAGATGTAGATTTTTTATGATTTTTGTTTGTTTGTTTGTCTTCTTTTCTTTTAAATAAGTTGTATTATATATTTAAGTTATACAATATGATGTTATGGGATATGTACAGATAATAAAAAAGCTACTATGGCAAAACAAATTAACATAGCCATCATTTCACATAGTCACCCATTTTTCTTGTTTTAGTGGCAAGAGCAGCAAAAATATACTCATTTAACATGAGCCCACAAACGGTCCAATTCTATTTCCCATGGTCCACATGTTGTCCAACAAATCTCCAGACCTGTTCCTCCCACATACCTCCTGCTATGTATCCCTGACCCATAGCTCTCCATTTCCTCCCCAACCAAGATTTAGTTCTTTTATTAAGGTAAAAGTGAAAGAATATTATCTTAGCACAAAAATAAAAGTATGGATTGCTATCTGTTAAAACCATTCTCAGGGCTGGGGATGTGGCTCAAGCGATAGCGCGCTCGCCTGGCATGCGTGCGGCCTGGGTTCGATCCTCAGCACCACATACAAAAAAAAAAAAAAAACAAAGATGTTGTGTCCATTGAAAACTAAAAAATAAATAAATAAATATTAAAAAAAACATTCTCAAAAATACTTAAGGTTACTATTTGAATAACTGAAAAAAAAAGTCAAATATGATAATTTTTTTTTTCTGGAACTCACAACCCAAAATGTGAAGCTGCCATTTTCTTGTTTATCTGGGGTAAATATATAATAGTTTTCTAAAATTGGATGGCTAAAGTAGTCTCTATCTATAGCTCAGGAGATTGGAATATTTGATTTAAAAGTCTGCCCATTCTAAAGTTTCTATCATCCCGGAATTCTATACCACCTCTCAGTTCTTCCTGAGACCAAAAAAAAGTGGAAGTGAGTCACTCTTAAGCTTTTTGAGACAGTTAATAAAAAAGGAACAAAAAAAGAAGGCCAATACTCACAAGTCAGAAGTTACTCTATCCTGGAAAGAATCTGGTGGAATCCAGTTGGAGCCTTTCAGAAATATGGGAAGTCCATTAATCTTAAAGTAGAAACTCAGACCACGAGATCCTTTTATGGGCTCTTCTATAAGTTCTACTGTTCTAAAATAAACCTGTCATGAACAATTCAATATTGCATATTGAATCAGACACATACACAAAATTTGTTTTTTTTTAAAAAAAAAAACATGCTTCTTAAACAGATTTTAATGTAATCAGCTTTTAATGTAAATTTTCCTATTTGCTACAAAACAATTAATGTGAAAATATAAATTTCAGTAAATATATTAGTGTTATTTCTCTTGAAAAAGAAAAATACAGAAACAAAGAGCAAAATACATTGAGTCTTCCTCATGGAATGGGCTTTTATGATTATGTAAAGCAAATTTGAACATAGCATTTCATAACTAAAACAAAAATTGATGCTTTTTCACAAAAGTAGGAAGAAAGTACCATCAGTCAAACTAATATATCTTCAACTGAAAAACACACTCTCATTTCAGTGTTATTAAAATGTGCCAAAATGTGTATCTTGGAATCAAAGGGAAAAAAGCATACGCACTTTATAATTTTACAACTTTCCAATCTTAATAGCACATTACTATAAAAAATCACTTTGTTTAATGGGCAGTTTCATCCTAATTATCACATTAAACTCAATGTTTGACAGAGCTCTGGTATCTCAACTGGAGCTGTATGGGATACATTCATTGGCAGAAGATCTTACAGGAGCACACACTTCAGTGCTATGATTGCTACAGGAGAGGAGGAGACTTTGTTCCTCAAACAGTCTAGCCAGATTTTCCCAGTTAGTTATGGGCAACAAGACCTAGAAAAGCTCTGCTATTCTCATCAAAATCTTCATTTTTGCCATCCATAAACTGGATCAAGGAATGAGTGACATTGTTGTTTACCAATAAAGCCTAGCCTTGAATCAAAATTATGCACTTCTCAGGGCTGGGGTTATGGTTCAGTGGCAGAGTGCTCGCCTAGCATGTGTGAGGCACTGGGTTCAATCCTCAGCATCACATATAAATAAATAAAAAATAAAGGCACATCAACAACTAAATTTTTTTTAAAAAATTATACACTTCTCAAATTAAAAAAACAACAACAAATCAGTGTATTTCATGTAGTGTCAGTGTCTACATTCATTCATCCTTCTACTTTCTTATCTTTGCCCTTATTTAGAAGTCAAGACAAAAGAAATCAGAATTAACTTCATGAGAAGACACAGAACATGACCTGGATCAGGAGAATCTTGACATGGAATTGCCACACCTGCTTTAGAGTGGTGAAGAAGTCACCATGGTTTTTAGAGACCACTTTTCGATGGTGAGCTCAACTTTCTAGAAGAGTAGTTCTTTAAGAATGGTCTCTTAGAACCATTTCAGGGGTCCTGAGGCTCTGAATTATTGGCAAAATAAAAGTTAAAACCCTATTTGCCTTTTTCTCTCTTATTCTTTCCTGAGTGTGAGTGGGATTTCCTAGGGATGATTGTTTTAGTCAACTTTTTCACTGCTGTAACCAAAAGACCTGACAAGAACAATTTTAGAGGAGTAAAAGCCTATTTGGGGGCTCACAGTTTCAGAGATCTCAGTCCATAGGTAAACAATCTCTCCAGGAACAAATATATACGCCAAAGGCACACAGCCCCAGTGAGCCACCTCCTCCAGCTACACCCCACCCACCTGCCTATAGTTACCACCTAGTTAATGTCTATCAATGGATTAATGCACTGATTAGGTTAAGGTTTTCATAACCCAATCATTTCACCTCTAAATTTCTTGCATTGTCTCACACAAGAGCTTTTGGGGTATACCTCATATCTAAATCATAATAATGATGTGAGATGACATTCTCACTGGCAGCTAATGTATATATGTACTTTGTATATTCTGTATGCTATTTTTTTTAGAGAGAGAGAGAGAGAGAGAGAGAGAATTTTAATATTTATTTTTTTAGTTTCCGGCAGACACAACATCTTTGTTGGTATGTGGTGCTGAGGATCGAACCCGGGCCGCACGCATGCCAGGCGAGCTCGCTACCGCTTGAGCCACATCCCCAGCCCTATTTTTTGGTTTTTCCTTTGTTTCTTTTGTGGTGCTGAGTTCTGAACCCTGGGCCTTGCACATGTTAGGTAAGCACTCTACCACTAAGCTACCTTCTCAGCCCTGTGGACTCTACTTCTAAAGCATAGGTTTTGGGTTTAAAGAAGTGCTTTTTGAAAGATTTACTCAGTTTGTTCTCAGTACTTTTACTGTGCTCTTTCTAGCTCTCTTTGATTATTTCTGTTATAATCTCTGTAAAATGTCTCTAACTGTTCAACAAATCTTTATTATGAATCCCACAGTTTCCCTCACAACCTTCACAGAAACATAAGACTGGATCCTCTTTGTTAGTTTTATTCACAGTGATATTTTTTAAAGTTTTTAAATCAAACATTAATTTTTAAATTAAAACTCTTTTTAGAGTTTAATAATATTTATCTCATTCTAAAAGAAAATTGAATTACAATGTATGTTTTCCTAATGTAAGGATGAATTGTTAAAATAAGATTAGAAGGTTTAAATTCTCAACCTTTAACTGTACTGTCTGCATCTAAAAGTGCGGGAAAAAAAATGAAACTGACATAAGAGAGTCTTTTGACTTGTGGGGTTGCGGGGAGAATCTACTCCAAGGAAACTGGGTAACATTATAAATAACAAATGAAATTATTATGATAGTCATCTTTCCCTCATCCTTAGAGATTTTTCTTAAAGGAACAATAAGCATTGGATAAGACAAATGTTGTACAACCTGAAGGAAATGACTTATAGCAGAAGCTGTAATGGCCACACTTATGGACTACCCACCCTTGGAGACTCCACAGATCTCAAAAATGCAGATGGAATTTCATCTCCATAAATAAACGCTAATGGAGGATGTAAATTATTGTTGTTGAGTTATGTACTGCAAAAGTAAAATCAATATGTCATTAGCTAGGACCTGAAAACCAAGATTTAATTGTCAAGCAAGGTGAATCTGCAGGGCTAGCTCAGGGGCCACCTCAGCTCCACTCACATTGATTTTATTTATTAGTGAAGTATTACTTTTTCATTACACATATAATACACAATTTTTTATGTCTCTGGTTGCACACAAAGTCACACTATCATTCATGTCTTCATATATGTACTTAGGATAATGATGTTCATCTCATTATCTTTAGAGATTTTTAACAAGTTACTTTATTGTATCTTATGCAATGCACCACCTTTTTAAAAAAGAAAAAGAAATCAAATACCTTAAACTTAGACATTGATAAGCTTTTTATAAGCCAAATACTATTTGTTACATCTTTTCAAATCAGTGATGAAAAAGGCTATAGTCTCTATTGTATAGAGTTCCTGGTGGTGCAGTGGCTGGAGAAGTACATGTGTTCGGTTTCTGAGTGCCTCCAGGATGAAAAAAACCACAGCATCACCATTTTGTAATGACACAGTAACACGTTCAATTAAAAGATCTAGCTGCAATATGAAGATTGAGTTGATATTGGGAAAAATCATACTTTTGCTTTACAAAAGGGTGAACTTCCTGACATTGATGAACTTGCTATTTTGCATGTGTTTGTCTGTTATCAGACAAATAAATTATCAAAGAAGATATTTTATGTGAATTTTTAACACCAAAGTACAAGAGGTGTTGAAATACTCAGAGTACTGAATATTTTTTTTTAATCTCAAGGTTATAGTGCAACTTCTGTGTTAGCATTTGCACAGGCGTTAAAATGCAGAGGATAACACTGCAGATCCCTTAGCAGAAATCAAAACAGCAGTTCCAAACTGTGTTAGTTGTCATTATTTCCTTCACCTTCAAGCATTAGCAGAAAAAAAGTGCCAGTGTCACTTCAGATAAAGCAGCAAAAATTGTCAATCTTATTAAATATCAAGGCTGATTACACATCATTTTAATATCCTATGTGATGAAAAGAGAAATACCATGCAGGACAAACATTTTGAGGAAAAACATCTGGGCCATTTTTTGAGTAGTGAGCTCCGTCAGTCATCTCGTTATAAAACTCCATTTTTACTAGAAAAAAGGACTAACGGATGACCTATGGCTGTTCTGACATGGATTCCTGGCTGGCATTTTCTTGAAAGGGAATGAGTGAGTCTGTCACTTCAAAGAGGACAACTGGCAATATTTGTGGACAATGATAAAACTCAAACTTTCAAGTAAAAAAACAGGATTTAGAAAAGCTTGTATCCAATTCCCTGAGCTTGAGAGCATTTGATACTGAAAGATTTTCCAGGTGACATCAGTGGAGATATTAACAAATATGAATGTGATTCTGGAAAATGAAATTGTTTCAACATTTGGAAGATTTATAATTTCTCAGGAAACCAACAATTTTTAAATAACCAATGTATTATATTACAGTATCATACATGAGTAAGGAATCCATTAAAACTGCAAGATAGACCAATGGATTTTAATGCAATAGAATGAAAAGTTCATTGAAATGGCTTCAGAGTTGCAACCAACCTTTAAGAAACTATCACCTGTTGCCGGGCACAGTGGTGCATGCCTGTAATCTCAATGGCTCAGAAAACTGAGAGGCAGGAGGATCATAGTTTCAAAGTCAGTCTCAGCAACTTAGTAAAGCCCTAAGCAACTCAGCAAGACTCTGTCTCAAACAAAAAAATTTTTTTAAAAAGGCCTGGGGATGTGGCTCAGTGATAAGTAGCCTGAGGCCTGAGGTTCAATTTCTAGTACCAAGCACACACACAAAAAACTACCACTTATTAAGTTCTAGTATAGTACCAAAGAATATCCACAATTATCTGAAAAGACTATTAAAGCATTCTTCCTTTTTACAACTACATGTCTGTGTAAGGTCAGATTCTCTTCATGTTTCAACCAGAAGAACATATTGAAAATTGAACGCAGGTGCAGATAAGAATCTAGCTGCCTTTATTAAAATATTAAAGACATTTGCAAATATATAAAACAATTTCATTATTCACATCAAATTTTTGGTTTTGTAAATATATTTACATTTCATAAAATAAATCAGATAAACTCACATGTCATGACTTATTGTGGTGATTTTAGATGAATAAGTAAATAT